GCAGCGCAGCCTCTCCAGATTCGATGAGAAAGAATGACGCGACGCAGTGGCGACCCCCATTGGAGGAGTCTGACCTCGCGACCAGCGGCGCTTCTGGTTGGACATTTGGGTTGGACCCGGTGCATATAAAAGAAGCCCTGCGGTGCGTCGCGAGCAGTCCTATTTGAGAGCAGACCTATGTGTTAGCGAGGAGAGCTCGGCTCTTCGAGTCTCTGTCGGCCCCAGTGCCGCATTTGTAACGCCTCTGTATATATGCTGTACATAAACCTTGTTTAACTCCCCGTCGTCTCGTCCGCTCGTCTATCAGCTCTGCGCAGAAGCAGTCGCGAGCTGAGAAACCTACGCTACCAAACGGCTGGTGACCTTCCCTGCGGAGTTCGAAGCAGTGGCGCCTTCGGGACCATGTTGGCGTCGCCGTCTTTCGCAACAGTGGTGGCAGCGGTGAGATTTCGAGGCGACCTTCGAAACGTCGTTGGATGCGCGCTCCGCAACAGTGGCCGTAGCGTTGCATATAGTCCAGTAGATCCTCCGTGAATGGTCACAACGTGGTGTATTTCGACGTTTCGGCCTAGAGTCTGGCCTTCATCAGGATTAAAGATAGAGTCTGTTGGTGCTCAGCTTTATACAATCTTTGAGATTGTAGTTACTAGGTTATGACGAAGACAGTAATGCACCTGCACGTGTGCTTGCTTGATCATCGCTCTGTAAAATCTTCGTTCTTCTGTGGAATAAAATTAGTAGAATGTTGCCACCCATCATGTTCATATGTGTTTTATGTACTCGTTATTTGTGCCGAAAAGTTTTCTTACTTTTGAATAAATACGAACTAGCTCCAAATGAGCTTCTGCTAGAGCAGCTATGTTCACGTCGCTGTCATTATTAGTAAATGAAGCCTCAGAAAAAGCACATTAGTTGTGGAGGACGATAGAGAATCAGGTGTGATGTTTTTTTTCCGCAAAATGCTACGCATGCTTCTGAAGGTGATATAAAAGGACAGAACGCTCAAATAGGTTTTTTTTTTTACAATAAAGCACTTTCGGTTTTTCTCGTGATTCCAAGGTGGCGAATTAGTGAAGAGTTTAGATGGTGCATCAAACGCTACAACCCGAAGCACTTGAAATTGCAAAGGAAGTGAGACGGCTTTTTTACTTTACAAATACAAAAAAAATTATTTTATCCATACGGACTGCCGTTCAAAAGGGCTCTTGCGCTGCACTTCTCGTGGTACAACATTTTACGCTGGTTATGTGAAGTACATTGAAGAAAAGGCCACATAGCATACGTTGCGTCGTAAAACCTCGATTTGCAACATCCCAAAATTGTGTGGGTATAGGGCAAGCCGAGCTTTGCTAATAAGGCTAAATGCGCGTGTCAGTTACATATAATGTGGCTGTGCAGGTTTACTTGCGCAGCCACCGTATATGTAGCCCTTCACATCAATGCATATGTACCCCTTCACATCAATACACCTTATTCAGTCAATATCAGGCCGCAGCAAGTCATTCTTTTTCGCTCTACATTGAGGAACATCTGACAATGTTAATACTGCATGACAAGTGTGCTCCATTTGAAGCTGTTATCATTGGAGACGATCTTTTTGATATCATTAAACAGTCTGGCTTTACTTCAATGAACATAGATAAGGTGAACATAAAACAGTGGTATACCCATCAGGCATGAAACAGGATTACCGAAGACAAGAATATGTCCGGGCAAACGGTGTTGAGCAGACACTTCGGCGACTGCCTTGAAGTTGCCACAAAATACGGAACTTCCTGTCAGACCGACTATACGTATGTTATTACAAAGGTACTTACATTCGCCATACTTATAAGAAATGCAAGTGCGTAATATTGATTCGCCGTGGGCATTGTTATGCCTGCGAGTCCACAACGAACGTCCATGCCTCTGAAAAAGGCAATCTGTGTCAAGGCCAGCCCGCGAGCCCGCCTGACGCGAACAACTCAACGGCGTCAACACGCAACGGCGCCTTTCTGGCGCGCAGGTGCAGCGAGTCACTCGAGCAGCCCGTCGAGCCAGCAACCGGCGCCTTCCTGTCTGGCGGTCTGACGCAATGCCTGGCGACGTCACTCGTCCTTGGGTGCAGCCACCTGCAGCGCAGCCTCTCCAGATTCGATGAGAAAGAATGACGCGGCCCAGCGGCGACCCCATTGGAGGAGTCTGACCTCACGACCAGCGGCGCTTCTGGTTGGACATTTGGTTTCTCAAAGAATCCACCCGGTGCATATAAAAGAAGCCCTGCGGCGCGTCGCGAGCAGCAGACCTGTTGGAGAGTCGACATGTGTGTCAGAGCTGAGCTATGTGTTAGCAGAAGACGTGTGTGTCAGAGCAGTCCTATTTGAGAGCAGACGTGTGTGTCAGAGAAGAGAGCTATGTGATAGAGAGTTGAGCTATGTGAAAGAGAAGAGAGCTATGTAATAGAGAGTTGAGCTATGTGTTAACAGACCTGTTGGAGAGCAGACATGTGTGTCAGAGAAGAGAGCTATGTGATAGAGAGTTGAGCTGTGTGTCAGAGGAGAGAGCTATGTGATAGAGAGTTGAGCTATGTGTTAGCAGACCCATTTGAGAGCAGACCTATGTGTTAGAGAGGAGAGCCAACACCACCTAGATTTAGGTGGTGTTGGGAGAGCTCGGCTCTTCGGGTCTCTAAGCTGTCGGCCCCAGTGCCGTATTTGTAACGCCTCTGTATATATGCTGTACATAAACCTTGTTTAACTCACCGTCGTCTCGTCCGCTCGTCTGTCAGCTCTGCGCAGAAGCAGTCGCGAGCTGAGAAACCTACGCTACCAAACGGCTGGTGACCTTCCCGGCGGAGTTCGAAGCAGTGGCGCCTTCGGAACCGTGTTGGTGTCGCCGTCTTTCGTAAACAGTGGTTGCAGCGGTGAAATTCGAGGCGCCCTTCGTAACGTCGTCGGAGGCGCGCTTCGCAACAGCATGCAGTCCTTACGTAGCCTTTTATAATAATATCCGCAGATGAACTTCCCGAAAGCAGGATATGATTATCAAGGCAGCCGTAGTGGGGAGCTTCGGAAATTTCGACCACCAAGAGTTCTTTAACTTAAACCCTGATCTAAGTAGTAGGTTGTTCTCAAACAATTTTGTCTCCATAAAAAATGCAGCCTCCGTGGCTGAGCATCAATGCCGTAACCTTCCGGCAGCAGTCGAGTTCCATAACCACAAGACCGACGAAACGAGGCGTGTAATAGTCTCATAAGTTTCACTCAGAACTTTAGGGCAAAATGAAAACTTGCTTGGTAGAGACAGATTACTCTTTCAGAACCCTGCTAAATACCCGTAAACATCTTCGTAGTATTGTCACGCAGATGACGCCTATCTAGATGGTGTCGAGAGGTGCAAAACAGATACTACGTTGGCAAATAAATTTAAGGTGCGAACGTGTGCCCTAACAGAGAGAGAATAAATCACCCGATGACGTAAGACGACCGCGTGACGCCATGTCCGGTGCTAGACCGTTGGCGTGAGGGGGCGTGAGCGGTGATCCCCTATCTCATCGTCACGTCACAATGAAGCATCAGGCAGACAGATGGCTGCGCTTGATTGCGACTGATAACGAGCAAGAACGACGTTGAATCGACTAACTGAGCCGATAAGAGATTCGTGTGTTACTTCCTTTGTACGGACATTGCATTATTGTGAGCCCACTTCGGTGGAACAGTGCCTATGGTACTCAGCTATATGCTGCCCCAAATATCGCGGATTCGATACCAGCCACGGCAGTCGCAATTCGATGGGCAGAGGCCGGTGTACTGCATGATGTTAGTGCGCGTTAAAGAACGCTGGATGGTCAAAACTGTCGGAGCCCTCCACTATGGTGTCTCATAATTAGTTGGTCATTTCGCGACGTAAAAGATCCGATAGTATTATTACGCTGTGCCACCTAAACGTTGAATATGTATAGAAATTAGGGGCATAACGCGTCAGTTTGTGAAGGAAGCCCGTGCGCTTGTCACACTTATACGCTTGCCACGCAAACATACACTTGCCATGCAAACCACCCAGGTTTTCATGTTGAATGGACGTGAGGCTAATCCAATGAAGTGCCATTCACTTGAAAATCTGTCTATTTTTATGGGACAGCCTTCTATTGTCCTTAGCTTCTGGTCAGATAAAGAACACAATCACAGAGTTCTGTGACTTGTCCTTGTCAATTCTTGCATCTAGTTTTCGATCAACATCAGTAGCTATGCCAGTAAAGCCTCACTCCCTGCCTGGTCATTCAGATAGCTCATAAGTGGTATCAATGGGATACACTTGTAGTAAATGTTTATGAACCTTCTGCTTCGGTCCAGTAGTGTTCTAGGTATTTGTATTTTATAAATCTATACCACCGACCCTTTGGGATTGCTTGAAATTAAAACACTCAAAAGTTTGGGATAAACATTCAAGCCTGCACTCAATCAAGAAAAAAGAGCCGCATTAAAAGATATATAAAAAGAGAAGAGATTTCTGATAGTTCTTACTTTTGAGTACTTCAAAGTGAGTATTCTGTTATTTGGTATTGTGAAAGGAAGTGTCACTGTAGATATTTAGAATCCCACTAATGGAGACTACTTGTGTAATTGCGACATAATATCTTTCCCTAGTGATGACAATATTTTTTGCTCACTTCACACATTGATGTGTCTGAATACCACTTATCTTGTTGAAAAGTCAATATTATATTCTGCCTTAACGATGTGAGCTCAGATAATTGCATTCCTGATGAGTAAACAAATAAGAGCGTAGCCGTGAGTGGAGTGGTGAGTAATCACTAATAATGAACGAGTGATTCATCCATCATTCGTTCACCGTTTCCAGAAACAAATAAATTTTGCAGCACATGTCATCGTCATGTCAATGTTATTTCGACTGGCACTGATAAAACAGTAGAAAGTTAGTCATTGATAAACGTGAGTGCACTTCCTTGATGGACTATATAAAATCAATTCTGACGACACGACCGGCAGAATCAGTGAGTGGCTTACTTGCCGAGTTGCTGGTTCAGCCGAAAGGCTTAGGTTCTGTTTTCGGTATGTAAAAAGAAGCGTTTGATTGTTCAGTGTAGTGTTTCTGCATGCACTTTTTCGAAATCTGCCTTTTTTTACCACAGCTGTATTTTGGACGAAAATTGTCAAACATGATTCATCACGTGCCCATTTGTTGTCAACTCTTAAAAACAATTCTGAGAACAGAAAAAACCATTTTGGTGTCACCACTACTTCTATGGACTTTGATTTTTTTTCACTCTCAGGGCAATATGGCAACAGAAGAGAGACCGATTCCTGTTCGTTATTTGCCGAAAGATGAAGCCGTCAGTCTGGATGGAAAGTTGCAAAATCCCTCGAACTCGCGAAAAGAACATCAGCTGCAGCAGCAGCAAAATGACTCGACACAATGCACCCCGATGAAAATCTTGAAGATATCTCTACCGATCATCGCGTTGATGTTGTTCGCTGTTCCTGTTATCACTTTCTTCGTTTTTAGGCACATAGACAGGGTGAGTGTGTTTTCTTTATGCTGAACTTCCGTTTTGTCTTTTTTGCGGTATATCTGGTCAGGACTTGTATCTTTAGAGCTATCCTCACATCACCTCAACATTCGCGTGATTCTGGTTGAATTTTCGGTATTTTTCACACTCTTAAAGTAATCCTTGCTATTCTTAATAATGTTACCTTGGACATAGTTGGAGTGGTTGTAGTGGAGGAAGCGTCGTCACAGCCAAAATGGACAGTATTCGTCTGTCTCATTCAGGAGTGTTTCAAATCACTTTACTTGTCACCGTTTGGTACTGTCGTTCCTTCTTTGAGGGACAAACGTCAATCAATGACTGCTCCAAATAACCACTTGTGATAACCGGGAAGTGATGTGCAAATGAGGCCTCCAGAGATAACGTTCACCCTGATATTATCGTTCGTCTAGAAATAATAACGCGATAGCCTTATTGAGCTCAGTTCGTATGCACTCTGGTCTCGGCACCATTAGTCGGGAATTTAAAATGATCCTCTTGTAGTATACCGAAATATGAAGAAAGTTGGCAATTATTAATAATGAAAATCGCCGAGCCTAGGTCAGGATCGAACACAGTGATACTGCGTTGCAGGCAAGTGTTCTGCCACAAAGCTACAGTACTTCTTCAAATGACATCTTGCTCAGAAAGAAGTCTCCTCAACCCAATATATAATGCGTGGCATAAACTTAAAATTACGTCAGGTGTCAAAACATCCCATTTGAGCAATCAGTTAGTTTTTTGAAAGGCCGATCTATTACAAAGCGTTCAGATATTTTTAAATATCATTAACAGCGAAACCATCAAGAAAGAGCTGCTATGGTTGATCTCTTGATTTTAACACGGGTAGAGGGCTATTGGCTGATTCGCAAGAAAAACAGTTATGGCATAGCCGGCACTCAACAACTGGGCTTGAGTCCCGAAATGGTGGTCTAGTGGCTAATGTACTCGGCCACTCACCCGCAGATTGCGGGATCAAATCCCGGCTGCGGCGGCTGCATTTCCGATGGAGGCGGGAATGTTGTAGGCCCGTGCGCTCAGAATTGGGTGCACGTTAAAGAACCCCAGGTGGTCGAAATTTCCGGCGCCCTCCACTACGGCGTCTCTCATAATCACATGGTGGTCTTGGGCCGCTCAACCTCACATGTCAATCAACAAATGGGTTTGAAGTAGACATTCAATAATACCGGTGTCATATGGGTACGTTTAATTCCATTCAGTTTCGATCCACATTAACCACGACCCGGATTATGTGCTATAACTTGGTCACATTAAATCTCGATCAGGTGTGATCGGGATTAAGACTGTCGCGATCCGTGCATCGCGATCTGCCAGAGAGATTGAAATCGCACTGCCGTCTGCACCCCAGGTTGAACTTGTTGAAAGCCCAATAAACAACAAAATCGAGCATAGTTTTATTGAAAAAGTTTAAAACAGCTAGGTGTTTAAAAAGTAAATTTTAAACTGTTTAAATTTGAAAAATACCAGAAATATTGATTTTAAAATTCACATCGACCACATGTAGTATGGGAAAAGCAGACGACCGCTGCTAAATAATAATAATAAAGTAATAATAAAATGGTTGGTGGATGCGATAGGACGAGAATTTTCATCGATTACTACTGATTATTTCGTAAACGTAACGTGAATTTAGCTTCATGACAGAGCCTATGCCCTAAGAACAATGGGACATCAAGGAAGTGTTTTATTCATGTAATTTACGCTGCAAATAAAACCTGCTAGGGACCCAAATTAGCGCGACAGGGACACGTACTGCCTTATGGCCGAATTCATTTGCTCTTAAGAGATCATTGACAGTATCTTGTAAAACAACTTTAAACCTTACAGTGGGAGCATAGTCTAGGCGCTTATAAATATCGTATAGTGGAGCAACCCGTGGGCTTCACTCATAGTTTGTTTTTACGGATAATTACAACGGCACCTCCTTTGTTGGCTCGCTTTTCACACGTATCACTGCGTTCGGCCAGTGACGGAGTAGCTTTCCTTTCCTCAATTGAAATAGATTTAAACTATTTCTGCTTTTAGTAGTTTTTGAGGATGTCATGTCGGACAGCTTCAATAGACTTGTCTAGATAATTTTCACGTTGGGCTGCAGGTGTCCAACGGTTGTTGCTGAACATAACTTGCTGATTGTCGCTAGTTGACGGACTGTTACGGAAACCTTCTCTTAGACGCATTTACGTGGAAGTTTTTCTGAATCCTTAGCCAATTCAAAATCATCGGATCCGTCATTTGCAAGACATTAGGAGAGGCCCTATGACAAGATGAGCAGTTCGTCTTTATTTAAGCTTATGGGCAAAAGGTACACTACTTGAGTAGACGGCCACGTGGTATTCTCAGTAAACGCGTTTGTCGGAACTGCCGTTATTGCCTGCTCTGGAAACAACAAGTGGTCCAAGCCTTCACGGAGCAGCGTTTTACGTTTTCGGTAGTACATTCTAGCTTCTTCACTTTATAACTATTCAATTCGGCAATTTCAGTAGACGAGGCGTTTACCTATACATAATTTAGGAAACACTCCTTTATGAAATGAACAAAAATTTTCATAAATTTTTGTTATGATGATGCTTTTTTCACCTTAACTACTATAACTGTGTTCGAGGTAAAGATGATAGGCTTGTGCGAAAACTTACAGCTTACGAACTGTTAATCAAATATTTCGCGAATCAGCAATCAGAAAACGCACGGGAAACCAAATGTTGTAAAACGCATAAATGATACTCCGCTGATATAATGTTATTTATAGTAAGGAAGGAAGTATAGTTTGCATTATGCTATTGATATTCTCGTTTTATTTTCAGATCCCAGAATATGGGCATAAAAGCACTAGTAAGTTCACGTTTTATCAATTGCAGTAAAGCATATATCGAGCCCTCACAGAATTGTGAAAGCATAATGAGGGTAGTGATAGGTTATCTGAACAACAAAGTGTACCTGACTGAACAATAGGAATTATTTGGAGTGCTATAGTTTGGGCAGGTATGCGCTAATGGAGATCGGCACTTGAACGACACCTGCCAAGAGAAAAACATACCACTACTGCGTCTTCCCCGTTAGTTACTTACCCGGGCTAAGGGAGGCTATTAACTCAGATATGAACGAAGGGGCGGCCACACTTGGAAAACAAAATTATAGTCGTATCGTAAAAGGGAAGAAGGAAGACAGATATCTAACCAGTCTAGAGGAACTTGTTCGCTACGCTGGGTTCAGGGACGGGTGACTTTCAAGATAAAGCGAAAGAAAGGAAGAACGGCGCTTAGTCGTTAAGGTCTCGCTCTCACGACGCAGATGTTCCGAGTTCAAGTCCGCGTGCCGGAGTTTTTTTACTGGATCTTTTTCTTTCTTACGTTTTCTTAAATATACATACGTACACATAAACGGTGAGTGAAGCCGGCGGCAAAATTGAGCCGAGAGTGTCCATGTATTGCTATTGCAATAAAATACATTTTGTTTATATATATGAAATATATACTGCATTTATATGCACATTTGCCTACGTTGTAATAACCCTTCAGAGTAGTACACGAGAACACAGAAAGTTATCCAAAATAATTGACTAAAACTACCCAAGTATGTACCACACTAACCAGCACACTTTAAAGGGGGTGGAATAATTGTACTTCGTTTCAGTGCTCCCCGATTTGGATAATCTTACCCTGGTTGATATCGGGCCTGACCACTTCACCATGTCCTGGATGCATCCCGTGGCCCAGTTTGACTATTACTGGTTAGAAGTTTACAAAAGTAACGACGGAAGTGATACTATCACAACTCAACGCGTGGGATCATGTGCTAATGGAACTATCGTTCACCGTGAACAAACTCAAATCACCTGCGACATGTTCAAGCCGTGCAGCAATGTGACGATTACACTGCACACAAAAGCAAAGGGCACCTCTGAACTCAGTACTGCAGGAGCGACGCTCCAAGGAAAATTCATGCCTGGAAAAGGTACAGTGCATTTTTTTTCCTGACAGCCACCTAACCATCATTCTTGTTAGAAAAAATATAATAACCTGTTATTCTCAGTATCAATGTTTGTAGTATTGGTGGTAAGGCTAAACCTGGTGACATCAACATATTAGAACATGCAGAAATATTGCCTCCCTTGCACAGTGGTTGAAACTGATGCCCACGGAGCGCGATTACGCTGTCGTCCTCTACTTTTAAAATCGAACCTCAGGCGCCCTCTTAGGTTTTGTACGAAGCAGCAAAGTCAACACAGTGGAGACATGCAGCACTAGGGCTATAGATTTCCAGAACCTTAGCAGGCTTCTCTAATTTTTCAGACAACTGCCCGCATTTCGCAAAAAAAAAAATTGTGGGGCTACCTCAAGTGGGACGATTGGCGTTGATTCACAACAAGAACATTTTCTGTTACGTCAGTTAACTTCTGCCTATTCTGAACAAAATAAAGCTGTTTCACTCACCCACTCAGTGTTAAAAGCCTTTGAGTGATTTTCGAGACATGTAGCGCATTAATTGTGTTAAAACATTGCTTGTGTACGTCCCATCCCGAAGGCTTTCTGAAGGGGAAATTGCAGGGAAACTCAACTAGTTAAAATTGTCCGCACACCCCACGTATCACAGAAATCGATGCTATGGGAAACATACGGCTGGAAGATCAATGCAGTAAAAATGTTTTACATAGCGAAACAATGAGAAATTACACTAACAATATGCACAAGCATTGTACGCACAAACATATATTCAAAGGTCGAGTGTTTTTATGTATTCAGTTTCAGTTGCCTAACATTGCCAACAACAACGTAGAAATTGCATATACAAGAAGCGGTAAGCTCATATATAGCGCTTGTGCTTGCGAGGAACGCCGCGATAATAAGTGTCAAGTATAAAACATCCGTGAAAGACGCTTAATTACACAAGTTACGTTAACCCGACTTCACGCCTCTGTCAAAAGAGAACATATATAATGCCTATACACCATTTTCTAAACGCACTCATACACTGCCATCTTGGACTGATAATGTTGTGGTTTAGCATTCGTATTAAATAAACAAATAATGCTACGTTGAACTCACACGCACTAAATTGCTTTGCCGCACATTCCACGTTTCATGACCATGATCATTTCATACTGTGACATACAAAATGTACAAAACAAACGTTTACCTGCCCAAATGGCGGAATCCATGAGTCGAGAAGAAAATCGTGTGTAAAATAAATAGGAAGCACTGCAACCCCAGGTGCCTTTTCAACAAAATTAAACTCGTCTAGGCTAATTTTCTGTAACAGTTTTGAGAGCTGGCGCGGCTTGATTGCCACGAAGAATTATCGACTTCTGTTTCTTGCTGAAACCCTGATATTTTTTTCCGATTCGTCGGGACAAAGCTTTCGATGTGTGTTTTTTTCTAACACTCTCGCATTAAGATGATGAAGGTCATTTCAATGCGAAAGTGTTCAGAAGACACATACAGAGGACTTTACCCCATTCACACGCCCCGCTGTTTTATATGTATAGGAACTCTCAATAAGCTGTGGCCTATACCCGCATACTACGGCACGTGGTTGAGCTGCCTGTGTCACACATGTCTAGAGCAAGGCGTTTGACGACGTACGTGATGCGACTTTCACGTTATTGACGTAGTAACTAGCCATACCTATTGGTCACACCCTTTTACCCAGCCGTAAGAATTATAGTCTACACCGAATTGAGGAGGCAAGTACGTGAACGCTAAGACGTAATCTGATGGATAGATACGCATATAGAAGTTCTCATTGCGCCTGCAGGATGCTCGAAATTGCCTCACGTTTAAAAATCACAATACGCCAATTCCACTAAAATTTTATCTGCAGAGACGGTAATTTGATCCGAAAACTTTTACTTTGGAAGAAACGTTTTATTACTTCTAGGCACGAGCACATCGAGAAACGTTTGGCACGAGCGCCATCTGGCAGTTATCTTTGAAAACGAAGGCGTGCGCGACCGCGGAGAAAGATGCGCGCCAGTCATGGAGGTGATAAGGTGTAGAATGCAAAGCGACAGGGCAGGTGCCACCACCGTGCCGTTGTAGCAAAGTGTTGGAAACACCTTCTTGAGCATCGCGTTGCACTGTCAGCGCAGCGCGTTAAATGCTACAGTCTTTAGAGTTACTTGTGTGTGCCTCTTGTAGTATAAAGGCAGACATGCAAAGCATAGACATGCTGTTAGGCGCCTCAGATATGCATAATGTTTGCTTTTATTAACTGACGATCGCACAACGATGAACGCTAAACCTTGAGCAATATTGGTGGTCACTGCGGATGGGGTGCCAGTTGGTGCCATTTGAGGTATCGTTAGGGCGGACAAACAGGCAAGTGTACAGACAGACCAAAATTTTTCCGTTCAAGGTCCCAAGAAAGACTATCGTCTTTAAAAAAACGAAAAAAGAACTGCCGTGGAGTGTTGTATATCTTAAATGCCGATCTGCTTCTCTCCGCGTGGAGACGCTCCTCCTGTCTTGTCACGTGCTGGCCATGCTGCGGCTTTGGCGCAGAGGGTAGTAGCACCTACTAGTTTAGAGAACGGAAGCTGTACTTTTGGGCTGTTGTATCAAAATAACATGCAAATATGTAGCCGTGGCGTAGTGAACTTTTAATACCGCGAGGTCACGTGACTTTTTTGCTCTTAAGTTTTTGGTAAAAAAACCTACACAGAAAAAGTCACTGTTAAACGATATTAGGCAACAGGAGAAGTGCTTCCTCAATGGCGTGACGCAGGTATTCCTGAAGTAATGAAGCTCAAGCAGACAGCCGTCACCAAGAATTCTGTCACTTTGTCCTGGGAACGACCGAAGGGCTGCTTCGATGACTACCTGGTCACGGCCAGGGCAGAGAACACGGAACTCGGTAGCTAAGAGACCAGCGCTGGTACATGTGGTACCGGAACCATCGTTCCCGCAAACGAGACCAGTTCCTCGTGTGATGGCATCAAAGCGGCAAGTGTGAGCATCATGGTGCAGACGCGCAGGTTGAAGTCGGATGGTCTTATTTCACAGGGTGTGACACTTCAAGGAATCGCCATGTCAAAACGAGGTACATAAGCCTGTATTTACCTTAAGTTTTGTAACAGTGTTTCAAGTGACTGTCATAGATGCGAAACAATCATTCGAATTGGTTACTGAAATGTCTACCTCTTGAAGTTGTGTTGCCCAAAATACTGAAGGCAGTGTTGAGACGCCTCAGGGTATATGTTACTCTCAATAATGGTGTCTCCTGGGCTGACACGCTCTGAGGCATAAATTTATTTATTTCAACAATTTTAGTTGATGTTTATTAACCTATATATTCATAGTACCTATAAAGCCTATTAAAGGTGCCTGACGAAAAAAAAAGCCAAGATTGAATATAATGGTAACACAATACCACAGACCATCTTTAAAGAAGATTATGAAGAACGCAGTAATACTACAACGAAATCGCCCCCGATTTATATGGATAAAATATAATTTAGAAAATTTTTTATTTTACAATAACTTGAGGCAGTGAGTGCATGCTGAATGTATGCATTATATCATGTCTGTGGACGAAACCAGTCGAAGAGCACATGCGTGGTTTTTGGCCGTAAACACTCAGATTATTAACATAAAAACTATATGGCATAAATTGACAACCACCAACATTCCTTTAAAGGCAACAACCCCATAATCAATATTTAGATATTAAAAAAGGAATTTGTTATTACTCTCATCAATGTCTGTTTTGTTGAAGCAAATTATTTTCTTGTCGAAACGGAATATGCGGGTGAAAACGACAAAATTTTGACAAATAAAATTTTTTTGAAACGTTTGTATTGAACATGTATATCGTAAGAAAAGAAAAGTTCTGGAGAACATGGTTCAATTATGTGAAAGAAAGTCTTAGTGCAAGAGATAACGTTTATACTGAACGTTTGGCTTTGTACCAGCATCTATAAAAGATGCGGTCAATACATTAGAGTTTGGGTTTGGGTACACATTCTCACGCTACACACAGATACACCAGGGTGATTCATAAGAACGGAACAAACACGAAAAACCTACGTACACTGACGCACATAGACATACATACGGACACGCACAGAGTCAAAATCCATGAGAGCTTAACGAAAATTAGGGCCATAACAGAGAAACAAACAAAACATAAGCAACAAAAACAAAGGAAAAATTGAACAGTATAAATTTTACGATGCGGAAAACAAAAGAGAACATAGAGAAGTCCCAAAGATAAGACCATGATAAACGAACTAGAAGAAGAAACTCATACGCTTCGAGGGGAAAAAATAAAAAAAATTCATGGCGGCCGGATGAGAACGCCAGCGCGTATATATATGTTGAGCATGTTACCCTACAAAACTTCATTGTGGTGTATAAACCACATCTCTAATCAAGGCTGGTCTCCAGACGAAAGCTTGGCAGAAACTAATTATGTTTGTTTCTAACTTTCATATATATATATATATATATATATATATATATATATATATATATATAAATACTCTGAAGAAGTTTTCTCAATGGGCCAAACGTCCTTGAGAAGAAACACAACTTAGCGATTGTCTTCGTCAGGGTTTGTGAATAAGTCTTCTCTCTCTCTCTCTCTCTCTTTGTATATATATACATATATATATATATATATATATATATATATATATATATATACATATAAGAAAAAGAAGTGTATACCTAAGGGCTCGTTTTTCTGTGTTTTAACACAATATTAATGAGATCTAACAGACAGTAATGCTAAGGAATGTACAGGGGAAGTTATTAGAACCAATGGAATGTAAATAGGAAGAAAGAAAAGTGGACGAAAAAATAAGCAGCGGTGAGCTCCTGCTCACGGCTGGTTATTTTTTTGTCCACTATATATATATATATATATATATATATATATATATATATATATATATATATATATATATATATATATATATATATATATATATGCAACCGCTGAAGCCGACGGCCAATGAAGGCAAAGAATGCACATAGGTATGGAAGTTAAGGCGACATTATTCATGGTTTTTGAATTGTATAAGATTTCACCCCAATATACAAAATAATACAGGAAAGAAATTCAACTTTCCGTCGGTTTGATCCGAACCTCCAACTTTGAACTCTTGACCAATATAAATATATATATATATATATATATATATATATATATATATATATATATATATATATATATATATATATATATATATATATATATATATATATATATTTATAGGCAGGTATGGTGGTTGAGTGGCCGTAGCGTTGCATATAGTCCAATAGATCCTCCGTGAGTGGTCAGTATGTGGTTTATTTCGATGTTTCCGCCTAGAGTCTGGCCTTCATCAGGAATAACGGTGCAGTTTGTTGGTGCTCAGCTTTACACAATCTCAAATCAGAGGGAAAGGAAAGAGGCAAAAGACAGAAAAAAAGAAAATAATAAAAAGAAGAAAAAAAAGAAAAAAATATAAGCTGGACTCCCCTCGGGCGCCCCCTTCCACTCTTCCTTCCACTTCCCCGTTCTTCTCTCTCCCCTTTCTCCCCTTCACCTTTCTGATGTCACCTTTTTGATGAGCGTTAGCGAAAGGAAGCATACACAGACCGCTGACATCAGAAAGGTGAAGGGGAGAAAGGGGAGAGAGAAGGACGGGGGAAGTGGGAAGTATTTCATTTCCTCAAATGAAATAGATTTAAACTATTTCTGCTTTTAGTAGTTTTTGAGGACGTCGTGTCGGACAGCTTCAATAGACTTGTCTAGATAATTTTCACGTTGGGCTGCAGGGGCCCAACGGTTGTTGCTGAACATAACTTGCTGCTTGTCGCTAGTGGACGGACTGTTACGGAAACCTTCTCTTAGAGGCATTTACGTGGAAGTTTTTCTAAATCCTTAGCCAATTCAAAATCATCGTATCCGTCATTTGCAAGAGATAAGGAGAGGCCCTATGACAAGATGAGCAGTTCGTCTTTATTTAAGCTTATGCGCAAAAGGTACACTACTTTAGTAGATGGCCACGTGGTATTCTCAGTAAACGCGTTTGTCGGAACTGCCGTTATTGCCTGCTATGGAAACAACAAGTGGTCCAAGCCTTCACGGAGCAGCGTTTTACGTTTTCGGTAGTACATTCCAGCTTCTTCACTTTATATCTATCCAATGCCTCGATTTTAGTAGACGGTGCGTTTACCTATACGTTATTTAAGAAACACTCCTGTGTGAGATTAACAAAAATTTTATAAATTTTTGTTATGATGATGGTTTTTCCACCTCAACTACTATAACTGTGTTCGAGGTAAAGATGATAGGCTTGTGCGAAAACTTACAGCTTACGAACTGTTAATCAAATATTTCGCGAATCAGCAATCAGGAGACGCACGGGAAACCAAATGTTGTAAAATGCATAAATGATACTCCGCTGATATAATGTTATTTATAGTAAGGAAGGAAGTGTAGTTTGCATTATGCAATTGAAATTCTCGTTTTATTTTCAGATCTCAGAATATGGACATGAAACCACTAGTAAGTTTACGTTTTATCAATTGCAGTAAAGCATATATCGAGCCCTCACAGATATGTGAAAGCTTAATGAGGGTAGTGATAGGTCATCTGAACAACAAAGTTTAACTGACTGAACAGTAGTAATTATTTGGAGTGCTATAGTTTGGGCAGGTATGCGCTAATGGAGTTCGGCTGTTGAACGACACCTGCCAAGAGAAAAACATACCTTTACTGCGTCTTGCCCCGTTAGTTACTTACCCGGGCTGAGAGAGGCTATTATAAAACTCAGATATGAACGAAGGGGCGGCCACCCTTGGAAAACAAAATGATAGTCGTATCGTAAGAGGAAGGAAGGAAGACAGATATCTTAACCAGTCTAGAGGAACTTGTTCGCTACGCCGGGTACAGGGACGGGTGACTTTCAAGATAAAGGAAAAGAAAGGAAGAACGGGGAGAACACGCACATACTAAGACGCACACTTCAGATTTTTGATAAGGTGATTAACCTTCACCAGTCTTTGCAAGGTGGATGCCCTTAAGAACTCGATGGCTTTATATAGTATATTCTAGAATAGCACATACGTCACCATTTCTTTCGAGCTAGGCCGAGTTGAGCAATCACTCCACTTGTTCTATGTGTAATCCCACACAAGTAGCCTCCCATAGCTTCATATAGCCTCTCTAAAACCTGCACGTGCGAACGTGGTACCACTTGTCTGGGCCACCATCACCGGCTTTTCTGATGCACGACCATGAGTTTCCAGCAAAACAACGCTTAGATAACGGTGTCTTGTGAAGTGCTTACCTTTTAAAATTTCAGCGTACTATTTAATCTCATTCTAGATTGTTGAAAATTGTCACTGTAGACTCGTACTTCTAATATGTAGAAGTAATTGCAATATGTAACTACAGGTATATATGAACAGGAGGGGTAATTGCCACCACAGACATGTCGCGTTGCCTAATACGTTAGTTAGTACAGGAATGAGTGCTGCAACATGGGTAGGTCATATATACTAGACCAAAACTAACAGACGATGAAGCAAATGAATATATTTGGAACATTCGTTGCAATGCTTTAATCATACTGCAGTAACTTTGATACAAATGGAAACAAACGAAATAAAAAAAGGAGCTTACAGCCAGCAGCTACCAAACCTGCAATGTTCGAATGAAGCGCCGGAATAATTCACGGTATTTCTACGCACGCAAGTGAAGATATGTTTTTATTTCGTTATATAAATAAAAAAACTGAAAAACTCCCAAAATTTCCCTTCTCTAGGTAATATAAATGTATTGTTTTTTTTCGTTGCTATAATAGAAGACACTTTCACGTGCAATAACCAAATATGTTAAGCTATACAGAAATGCGCTTTCAGGTTGCTGAACTTGGCTCTCACATTCCGTTGGTTCAGTATGGTTCGGCACATTTTCACAGAACTCTTTAATTCAAAAAGTCACAGCTTTGCCGCAAAGGCTAAGCAATGAACGTGATAGCAATGAATTAGAAGGCCACGTGCCAAATGGCAAGCAAATCAAAACGTGCCCCGCGTTTTCACCGCACAAAGGACGCATGAAACGTGCTCACAGGTAAAAATAAACGCGAATAAGCGTCTCAGCTGTTACTTTGCTTTGTCTGAAATTCACGCTCCTTTCGCAAACGGAGACTGTGCAATGATTGCAGTTACCTTCTTGCACCCGGTAACTACAACACAATTGTTCTGGTGAAAGCCTAAGGGCAGCCAAGACATAGGATGCTCATAACTGTGAGATAAGGGCGTGAGAATGTGTGCTAAGGACATTACGACCACTTAGTCCTCTCCGCGACGCAAATTACGCGTGGGAGATGAGGGCGCGCGCCGCTGCGCGCTCATCGCACCACCTTGCTGGTGATGCTGAAAGCAGGATCGCTCATCTGAGAGATGCTCATCACCAACGGTAAGTGGTATATATGAAAGAATTCCTTTTGCATATTCAAAGACGTGCTTTTCGTTGGCTCAGTCGTTAAGGCCTTGCTCTCACGACGAAGAGGTTCTGAGTTCCATTTCGCGCACCGGAGTTTTTTACTGGATCTTTTTCCTTCTTAAGTTTTCAAAAATATATATACGTACACTTATACGGTGAGTGACGCCAGCGGCAAAATTCAGCCGAGAGTGTCTATGTATTGCTATCGCAATAAAATACATTTTGTTCATATATATGAAATATATACTGCATTTATATGCACATTCGCCTACGCTGTAATAACCCTTCAGAGTAGTACACAAGAACACAAGAAGTTATCCAAAAAAATTGACTAAGAACTATGCGAGTATGTATCACACTGAAGAAAAAAAAGCCCACTTGCATTGACTTGGAATAAATCTACTATGTTGCAGTGCTCCCTGATGCGGATAATCTTACTCTGGTTGATATTGGGCCTGATTACTTCACCGTGTCCTGGATGCATCCCGTGGCCAAGTTTGACTATTACTGGTTGGAAGTTAACCAAATGGAAGACGGAAGCGGTACTCTTACACCTCAACGCGTCGGATCATGCGCCAATGGGACTATAGTTCACCGAGACCAAACTCAATTTACCTGCGACTTGTTTAAACCATGCAGCAATGTGACCATCACACTGCACACGCAAGCAAAGGGCACCTCTGAGTTCAGGTCTCCTGGAGCGACGCTCCAAAGAATATTCATGCCTGGAAAAGGTACAGTGCATTTTTTTCTTAACACCTTCCTAACAATCATCTCTGTTAGACAAAATATAATAACCTGTTCTTGACGGTTTTAATGTTTGTAGTATTGGTGGTAAGGCTAAACCTCGTGACATCAACATATTCGAACATGCACAAATATTGCCTACCTTGCACATTGGTTGAAAATGATGCCCACGGAGCGCAATTACGCTGTCGTCCTCTACTTTTGAAACCGAACCTCAGGCGCCCTCCTAGGTTTTGTATGAAGCAGCAAAGTCAACACAGCGGAGACGTGCAGCACCAGGGATATATTTTCCAGAACCTTAGCACGCTTCACTAATTGTTCAGACAACTGCGCCCATTTCGTAACAAAAATTGTGGCGCGACCTCAAGTGGGTCAATTCGCGTTGATTCACAACAAGAACATTTTCTGTTACGTCGGTTAACTCGCGCCTATTCTGAACAAAATATAGCTGTTTCACGCACTCACTTTATGTTTGAAGCCTGCGAGTTATTTTCGAGTCACGTAGTGCATGAATTCTGTTAAAAAATTGATTGCGTACGTGCCATCCTGAAAGCTTTCTGAAGTGGAACTTGCCGAGAGACTCGACTAGAGAAAATCTTCCACACACCCCCACTTATCACAGAAATCGATGCTACGGGAAACACGTGGCTGGAAAATCAATGCGGTATAAATGTTTTACATGGCGAAACAATGCGAAATTACACTAACTACATGCCAAGCGTTGTACGCACAAACAAATGTTCAACGGTCGAGTGTTGTTAAGTAGTCAGTTTCAGTTGTGTAACATTGCCAACAGCAACGTAGATATTGCATATACAAGAAGCGGTAAGCTCATATATAGCGCTTGTGCTTGCGAGGAAGGTAGCGCTAGTAAGCGTCAAGTATAAAACATCCATGAAATGTGCACAATTAGTCAAGTGACGTTATCGTGACTTAACGCTTGTATCCAAGGAGCACATATGTAATGCCTATACGCCATTTTCGAAACGCGGTCAGCACTGCAATCTTAGACTGATAATGTTGTGGTTTAGCATTCGTATCAAATAAACAATCAATGGTACGGTGACCTCACATGCACGAAATCGCTTTGCTGGCCCATTCAACGTTTCATGACCACGATCATATTATGCTGTGACAAAATCAAGAAAAGAAAGGCCTATCAGTCCAAAGTGGCTGCGCCCAATGAACGAAAAGAAGATTGTATAAATAAATAGGAAGCACTGCAACCACAAGTGCCTTTTCAACAATATTAAACTTATGTAGGCTCATTTTCTAAAGCAGTTTTGAGAGCTGGCGCAGCTGGATTTCCTCGCAGAATGATGGACTTCGATTCTTTGCTGAAACCCTGATATTTTTTCCCGATTCGTTCGGACAAAGCTTTTAATGTGTGCTTTTTCTAACACTCTCGTGTTGAAATGACGAAGGTCATTTCAATGCGAAAGCGTTCAGAGAACATTACCCGCCCACTTCGCCACATTCACACATCCCACCACTTTTTTATGTATAGAAACTCTCAATTAGCTGTAGCCTCTTCCCGCATACTACGGCACGTGGTCAAGGGGCATGTGGCACACGTGTCTGGAGCAAGGCGTTTGACGACGTACGTGGTGCGAATTTCACGTTAATGATGTAGTAACTAGCCATACCTATTGGTCACACCCCTTTACCCTGCCGTAAGAATGATAGTCTACACCAAATTGAGGAGGCAAGTACGTGGAGGCCAAGACGTAATCTGATGGATAGATACGCATATAGAAGCTCTCATTGTGCCTGCAGGATGCTCGAAATTGCCTCACATTTAAAAATCCCAATGCACCAATTCTAGTAAAGTTGTGTCTACAAAGACGCTGATTTCAACCGAAAACTTTTACTTTGGAAGAAACCTTCTAAGTACTTCTGTATCTATAAATTCCTAAGGAATTTTAAAGACGTGATTTTTTCGTTGCTAAGTTTGTGGTTAAAAAGAAACTACCACATAAAAAGTCATTGTTAAGCGCTTTCTGGTAATGGACAACAGGAGAAGTGTTTCCTCTCCGGCGTGGCGCAGGTTTTCCTGAAGTTGGGAAGCTCAAGCAGACAGCCGTCGCCAATAATTCTGTCACTCTGTCCTGGGAACGACCGAAGGGTTGTTTCGATGCCTACCTTGTCACGGCCAGCGCAGAGAACACGGAGCTTGGTAGCCAAGAGACCAGCGCTGGCACATGTGGTAATGGAACCATCGTTCCCGCAAACGAGACCAGTGTCACGTGCGACGGCATCAGGGCGTCAAGTGTGAGCATCATGGTGCAGACGCGCAGGTTGAAGTCGGACGGTCTTATTTCGCAGGGCGTGACACTTCAAGGAATCGCCATGTCCAAACTGGGTACACAAGTCTGTATTTACCTTAGGTTTTGTAACTGTGTTTAAAGTGACTGTGATAGATGCGAAACATTCACTTGGATTGGTTACTGAATTGTCTCCCACTTGAAGTTGTGTTGCTCATAATACTGAAGGCAGTGTTTAGACGCCCCAGGAGATATGTTACTCTCAATAATGGTGTCTCCTGGGCAGCCACGCTCTGAGGGATAAATTTATTTACTTCAACTATGTTAGCTGATGTTTATTAACTTATTTATTCATAATACCTACAAAGCTCATTGAGGGTGGCTGACGAAAAAGAAAAGCCAACATTGAATATAATGGTAACGCAATACCACAGGCCGTATTTATAGAATATTATGAAGAACGTTGTAATATTACAACGAAGTCACCACCGTTTTATATGGATGAGTTGTATATAGTGTAAAAAAATCTTTGATTGTACAATAACTTGAGGCTGTGAGTGCATGCTAAATGTATGCGTTGGATCATGTCTGCGTACGAAAGCCAGCGAATTGCACATACGTAGTTTTGGGCCGTAAAACCCAAATAATAATAAAGTAAAAAACTATTAAAACTATATAAAAAACAACCGCCAACATTCCTTTATAGGAGACTGCCCTATAATCAATATTGAGATATTAAAAAGAATGCGTAATTACTCTCACAGATGTCTGTTTAGTTGAGGCAAATTATTTTCTTGTTGAAAAAGAACATGCGGGGGAAAACGACGAGAGAGTTTGACAATCATGAACTTTTTTTAAACGTTTGTATTGAACATGTATTTCGCTTAAAAGAAAAAGTTCTGGCGAACATGGTTTAAATATGTGTAAGGAAGTCTCAGTGCAAGAAATAACGTTTATACTGAACTTTTGGCTTGGTACCAGCATCTATAAAAGATGCGGTTGATACATAGAGTTTGGGTGTGGGTACAGATTCTCACGCTAAACACAAGTACACCACAGTGATTCATCAGAACGGAACAAACACAAAAGGCCTACGTACACTGACGCACAGATACATACATAGAGCACGCACAGAGTCGCAATTTGTTAGACCTTAATAAAATTGGGTCCACCACAGAGAAACAAAGGAAACATAAGCAACAAATACAAAAAGTTGAACAGGCTGAATTTTACGATGCGGAAAATTGAAAGAAAAAGTAAAGAAGTGTCAAAGATAAGACCGTGATAAACGAGCTATAAAAAGACACCCATATGTTTCGGGGTGAAAAGAAAAAAAAGTAAAGGTGGCCGGATGAGAACGCACAGTGCGTATATATTTGTCAAGCATATTAGCTTACAAAGCTCCAATGGGATGTATAAACCACATCTCTAATCAAGGCTGGTCTCCAGACGAAATCTAGGTGACTAACTTTCATCTATCTATCTATCTCTATCTATCTATCTATCTATCTATCTATCTATCTCTCTATCTATCTATCTATCTATCTATCTATCTATCTATCTATCTATCTCTATCTATCTATCTATCTATCTATCTATCTATCTATCTATCTATCTATCTATCTATCTATCTATCTATCTATCTATCTATCTATCTATCTATCTATCTATCTATCTATCTGTCTGTCTGTCTGTCTGTCTGTCTGTCTGTCTGTCTGTCGTCTGTCTGTCTGTCTGTCTGTCTGTCTGTCTGTCCGTCTGTCCGTCTGTCCGTCCGTCCGTCCGTCCGTCCGTCCATCCATATATATATATATATATAATATATATATATATATATATATATATATATATAGATATATAGTGTGAGTAATAATTCAAAGGGCCAAATAGTCTTCGTGAAGGTATGGGATATGGCACAACGGGAGCGTTGTCAACAAGCAACAAGGATAGATATATTTATTCCCAACAGTTTCGGGAGGGGTCCTCCCTTCATCAGTGGATGAGTTATACTCATTATATGGTTATATAGTTATACATATTATACTATATAGTTATAACTTTTCCCCTGATGAAGGGAGGACCCCTCCCGAAACTGTTGGGAAATAAATATATTTATTGCCATATACCATATATATATATATATATATATATATATATATATATATTATATATATATATTATATATATATATATATATATAGTCAAAAGTCAAAAAATGCACATGGGTAGCCAGGTTAGGGTGACATTATTTATGGTTTCTGAATTGTTTCAGATTTCACTTCATTGAACAAAATAATACAAGAAAGAAGTTAAACTTTCAGTCGAATAGATTCGAACCTCTAAATTTGAACTCGTGAGCTATATATATATATATTATATATATATATATCTGTGTGTGTAGTGTATGTGTGTGTGCGTGTGTGTGAGAGAGAGAGAGATTCCAAATTGACATACTTCATAGTGATCGTGCGTAACACGAATACTTGTTTCTGCAGTGCTGCCCGACGTAACGAACTTCAGCTTGATAGATGTTGGACCCGACTCTTTCACGGTATCCTGGGCAAGGCCGTCCTCTTATTTCGACTACTACTGGGTCGAGGTGTACGACAACAGCAACGGGACAGACATCCCTACACCGCATCGAGTTGGTTCATGTGCATACGGGAACATAATTCATCGAGATCAGAACCAAATCACCTGCGACAAGTTCAAGGCATGCGTTAACGCAAGCATCACAGTACACGCACAAAGCAAGGGTCCCTCAGGTCTGACATCCCCTGGGGCAACGCTCAGAGGTATCTTCGTGCCAGGAAGAGGTAGGGTATACTTTTCTCATTCTATTATTGGATCGGAATGAGACAGTTGCTGGTTGTGCAAAAGTTCAGTAGGCAATATTCTGACAAACTGTGCAATTTGCTGCTCTGGCACGTCTTGTTCTCCTATTGCTATTTTTTTGGCAGCACGTAGGCCTGGCATCGGTTTTTTGCGCGGTCACGAGCTCGCATAATAATTTTTCATGGTTTCACGTAATTGTTTAGAACTCAAACAGCTCAAACTATTAGGGACGCTTTATTGTGATAGCAAGTGCGTCAAGACGAAGGTATAGGCCATAACAATGCGTTATTTGCGCTTACATGGAAAAGTAAGAGTGCTAAACATGTTTTAGTAATAAGAAGCCGGATGTGAATTAGGACGTGTGCCTTATTCAGAGAACGAGGTGGGTTGTTCCGAGTGTAAGGCATTGCGCTCAATTTTATAATATTCATGTTTTACAAAAAAGCTCGTGGATAACCATTCTGGATCATCACGTGTGCACATTGAGTATACTTAGAATAAAATCCTTTTTCTGCGCATTACATCTCTATGGATGCTTTCGTAGTAATGGAGAAATGCGTTGGTAATAATTTCTTCAGAGCTTCACTACTAAACTGGTGCAAAAGTTCTTGAAAAGGGTATCAATCCTTAACGGAATAATAGAAGTCATCAGGCACTGCAGGCAAAACTTCATTTAGTTTTCATTTTTCTTTATTGATTGCTTAAAACTAAGTTTGTGGGACACCAAGCGAAAAAAGTCAATCGATCAGCTTGAGCCACTCGACTTGTAATGCAGCGCAAATGAGGCTAATGATTAGTGGTACCAAAAAAAAAACAGAACAAAAATTGCAAAAAAAAACTGTATTTCACATGTCTAGTCTCCACGCAGAAGAAAACTGGCTTGAATAGACATTATAAAGAAACCCCCAAAAATTATTTCCTTTGAAAAACAACGAAAACGACAAACAGACGACCTTGTGTTGCAGGCAAGTTCATGGTAAGGATACGGTGGTGAAAAGTCTCCGTAGTTATTTAAAGGAAGAAGAGCTCGAAGGAAACGATAGATTAGGGACATTAGGTTATTAGATGAGAAAGATACAAGATAGAAAGACGAAATAGAAAAAGATAGCAGATCCCACGTACTATTGGAATCAATCATATGCGAAGCACGAATGAGGAATATTGGTATGTCACCTAAAATTTAGGTCAACGTCACGAGGCGCATGAATGTAGGACACAGTAAAGACTAGTAGAAATGTTATGCGCACTCAGTTATTTGGATAAAATGCAAGTATATGGTCTATAGACACGTAGCGACCACACCAATAACGCTTGCACTACCAGCACAAGCAGTGGTTGGCATGTGAATTATGCTGTCCATGACTTCCATGTCATGATTATCATGTTGGCGCCTCGCATTTGTGTTTTTATTTCATGCATGTCACGTAACACTCAAATTTTGTATATGTGAAGCTGGTGAAACAGCCGCGATCGCACTGTGAGCGTAGCATGTAGTCATGTTTTACATGACACGCGTATCAAGATTATCGTGTTTGGATGTGTCACTTACCTTCATAGTCCATTCACGTCACGTAGTATCGTATTTGGTAAATGTGAAGCCAGTGCAATGGCCGCGAGTGCACCATGTGCGTCATATGTAGTCATGCTCTTACAAGACATGGACACCATCAGTATCTTGTTAGCACCAGTCATATATCTTAGTCATCAATTCATGTCACATAACTCCAAGTTTGGTATATATGAATATAGCGACACGACCGCCAGAGCACTATAAGCGTAGCGTGTAGACATTACATGGCACGCATGTCATGATGACCATGTTTCGACGTGTCACATACATCGTCGTCCGTTCGCGTCACGTATTAGGAAATTCGGTATATGCGAAGCTGGCGAAACGGCCGCTAGTGCATCATGACGATGGCATGTGGTCATGTTATCACATGATATGCATGTTGTGATTATTGTGTTTGCACCAATCATATACCTTCGCCATCTATTAACGTCACGTAATACCGAATATGGTAAATGTGAAGATAGCAAAACGACCGCCAGAGCACCACGAGCACATGGCATGTACAGGCGCGGCCACGTCTGTGTATGATGCGCGCGAGCGGCCTGCTTTGCTCGTCGGCGCGACACCTTGCGGCCGTTGCGTGTTGTGGCGTCGAATGCACAGGAGCATGCGCGACCTTACAGACATGCAGGCATGCTCTACACGTGCGACAACGGTGGATGGGGTGATTATTTAGACGAAGATCCATGCCACCTTACGGCGCTTTCCTCACATATAACTCACAAGACGGAACATGCGTTTCGACTAATAAAATGCGCCTGCATCAACAATGCACAATTTGTGGCCGGTTCTAGGCATGTGATTATATGAAGATGTGATGATGCCAACAGCTGCGTGAAAAAAAAAAAACAACTAGGCGGCCAGTCTCACGTGCGAAGACATGCAGTGGGCAGTGAGGGACACCCACGATTGATTGATTGATATGTGGGGTTTAACGTCCCAAAGCCCCCATATGATTGTGAGAGACGCTTGTAGAGGAGGGCTCAGGAAATTGCGACCACCTAGGGTTCCTTACCGAGCACCCAAATCTGATCACACGGGCCTACAGCATTTCCCCTTCCATCAAAAATGCAGCCGCCGCAGTTGGGACTCGATCCCGCGCCCTGCGATTCAGCAGACGAGTACCTTAGCCACTATACCACCGCGGCGGGGCAGCGACCAACTAAATCAATTTTCTCCTCACACTACGCAGGTCTTCCTGAGGTGAGGCAGCTGAAACTGACAGAGATGGACAAGGATTCTATAACTGTTTCCTGGCAACGACCGGAGGGCTGCTTTGACGGCTATATAGTTGAAGTCACTGAAGAAAACAGCGGAAGCAGTGGTGTTGGAGGCCTCAGTGCGGGCTCCTGTGCGGGTGGAATCAGTGTTGACGCTGAACACACTAGCATCACGTGCAGGAAAATAGAAGCTTGCAGCGTGAGAATCACCGTACGTACGCAAAGAACAGGACCACTCGAGCTTACTTCATCTGGTGTTTCCCTGAACGACATCGTCATGTACAAAAAAGGTACTTCTATACGCTCCTACGTCCGTCTCCTTGCGATGCTGAGTTGCTGAATTTTATATTGCAGTAATAACCAGCTAGTGACCAAGAAGGGAAGGAACGCTGTGAAGTGGTTCAGTTTCAAAGTTTCTGGCTTAATTTTTGTACTTTTTATTTCTAAAATGGTATGCGGTGTGTTTTAGCTAGTATATTTCTCTATACCTATACAACCAATACAAGAGGTTAGGATTTTATGTGTAGCATAGTGGTATCGTCACTTAGCATACGCATACGAATCATGCAAAAAAGAAGCGATATATCACAAATTAGGACACTAGAAAAGTATGTGCTACTTGTGCATATTTGTTCTTTGAACTATTTTTGCATTCAGAATATTTTGATCAGTAACTTTTTTAGGTATAAACGCGTATTACTACTTTTATTTATGCTCTTTTCTAAGCATGGTCGACCTGCATGCTCATACCCCTTTCTGAGTAGAAAGCTCATTCATATTATGCGCCTCCTAGAAGCCGTTACGACTGCCTCACCATATTAGCATGCAACTGCAGCATTAAACCTCAATAAAGCACTGGCGCCTCGGCCCTTGTCCTGAAATTGTAGTAGTGTACAATGTAATGTCGCTGCATCCACGTGTATTTTGTGTTGCTCACTATTCCAATTTTTTAGTTAATTACACTCGGTTGTGTATGTCTACGAGAGTGACTTCGAACTCTGGAATTGTGTTCTGTGAGCATTTTCTTTTATTTGTGTATAAATTGTAGTCTACACATGAAAGATGCTTGTTGTCCATTTCTCTCGAAACAAATGTATTTATCTTTATTTTCTTTTTTGCTGTGGTCATGTCGAAGCTTAGCATGAACTGCGGAGGGGCAGAGCCCGTTGTCAGACTGTTTGCCTTTATTACTTGCCCCTGCAGTGAGCTCTGTCATGTGCTCACTGTAAGTAAAGTGTCATTACTAATATCACTACTGCTACTAAAAGCCTTATGGTACATTATCTCTATTTATACAATACCTTACTATAACAAAACTATCACACCGACATAGGTTCCAGCAGTAGTCAGAGTATAAATATCAGTAGCATTGCAGACATTTCAAAATATTGATGAAGAATACTTGTATAAAAAGCCTCTAAAAGAGGTCAACAGCTGTTAGGTAGGACCGGGAGTAATCTACAAGAAGGGTGATTCCGATAAAGATGGATGTAAAGCACAAAAATACGACCGTTCTAGACAAATTCACTGCGTTTGGGCAGACTGGATAGGGAACCGATAAGGATGGAGAACATCGTTGTTCAGAGTTACTGAAGATTGAGACGAATCCTCTAAATTATTTGGTCAGGCATAAGTGCTTGAGAGAAATCCGCACAAATAGAATGACAACGTAGAAAAGATAACGGACAAGTATAAGTGCTTTTAATTTATCATTTTATTTGCCCTGATTTACAGCGCCCACTTGGGGCGCCTCCATGGCAGTAAAATCTGGAGTGCGGATAGCAATAGGCGCAGCAAAGCAGGTTTCAGACGTGTCAGTGCAAGTCGTCCTGGTGCTTGTAGGTCGTAAACTGTTGAAGTTGTTCTCGAATGTCACGCAGGTCTTAAAAACTATAGCCCGGGTTCAGGTGCCCTCACAGCCGCCCTTGTAAATCTTGCTCAGAAAAGTGCAATCAATGAAATGTCTGTGAGCTGGTACCCTCCACTCAAAGGAAGTCTCTACAGGAGGACCGTAGAGTCGCCTCAATCGTGCAGTGTGCGGTTTTTCTTTGTTTGCACATGTTTCTAATTATCATCGACAACACTTAACGTTCACTCAAAATCAAGGAAACTGACACCGAAACAGAAAGTTGCAACCACCGAGCTTGTTTACGCTGTTGTGCCAAATAAGAAAAATGAAGATCATTGGATAGGAATTCGCTATGCAGTGCCGATGAAGCAGGCTGATAAATGATGTGTTACTGAAGTCTTGCGTTGAACGCTCAAGACATTACTTCACTTAATTGTTTCGCTAGAACCTTGCTAAAAATCTTTTCTTGAGCCGCTTGTCAACCACGGCCGTCTCCGTCCATGCTGTTTGTGAAAGGTTAGTAAGAGAAACCACATAAAATATAATCGCTCTGTCAACGCCATTTTTATTTGCAGATATGCCAGAGGTGCTGCCGACAATTAAAGTGGCTAATGACACATTTGTACTGCGCTGGAATTGGCCAACTGGCTGCTTCGACAAGTACAATCTCGAGGTCGCCTATGAACCTTACGAACATTCGATCTTTAAAACGCAGCGTATTGGTTCATGTGTTGGGACAACCGTTCTAGAGCCTGACGTTACAAATGTTACTTGTTCACATCTGCCAGCCTGCGTAAACACCAGCGTAATTCTACGCACTCAGCGAAATGGACCACATGGACGTGTTTCACGTGGTGAAGCATTGTCTGTGTATTCTAAAGAAGGAGGTAGGTGTCTTGTGGCATGCTCTCACACAACATTGCCGTCTTTATTGTTGAAGTGTTCAATAGAAACACAATTGTAACGTAAGGTTTGCGATATAGGAGAATTGACTAGTGTTTAAAATTCTTGAATATTGGAGCACAGGATAATCTCAGGCTGCGTATGAATACACAATCCTTATGATATTGCTTCCTTCCTCTAGAAAAATATTACAATTGAATTGCCTGTTTAGCGTACTGCTGTGATCATGCCAGGGTGCATTTCTTCGATTTTGGTAGGGTTCCCTTTCGGTTCGTGCCTTGAAAAGTTTAGAATTTGCTTAGTACGGCACAGCAAATGTGCTCCTGAATACGCTAATTCACGATTATGCTTATGCAAACGCATGCATCATCATAGTCGTAACTCTTTTTCTCCTTTCTTGTAGGGCTAGTGAGACTGCCTTTAAACCACAGCTATCATACGGTATTCAACTTCACAGAGTGTACCACTTTACACAGAGTAATTAGTGCGCGAAAAGGTGATGGTGAATTGAAATAAATACGATGTCATAATGTGGACGCTCATATCGGAGGACATTTCATTTATAACATTTCACTGCATGTCTTCGCAGATCTTGTAGACTTTGACCTCTACCTTGACAGGGTGACACCGACTACGGCTGAAATCATCATAGACCCGCATCTTCCGCCGTCCTGCTCACCGCGTTACTGCGGGGCGTATATATGTCGCTTCTACAAGAGTGGAGCGATCGTGGTGGGTCACCATCTTTCAAAACTCGCGCTACATTCAAACCCGCACAGCGATCTTCAGTAAAACGAATTTAGGAATCTTCAATTCCCCCTTAGAAAATTGGACAATTCCAAACACGCTGCTCCGAACCGGAAATCAGTCCTTCCGCTTATGTCAATCTCTCACTTAACACGCTTCTAACCATAAAGAAATACGTCGATGATAAACGCTAATCCTATTTTGTACCTTGTTCTGAACAAGAGCCATAACGCTGCCAAAGCGAAAGTGTTCACCGCTGCGGTACACACGTATGCTCATAAAGTGTGAATACACAAGAATCACGTGACTGCGTTGCACCCTTGACGCAAGGCAAATGTAACAGAAGAGCACTTTACGTTAACTTCAAGGTAAAGAATTCAAATTATTTTGCAGATCAAAAGGTAAACATCAAAACTATTGCGCAAAAGAAAAAAAAAACAGTTCCACCTCTGCAATATTGGGCCTAACAGGCGTTTCAGTATGGAAAGCATGCGTGTGCCACACGAAGACTCTAGATACTGACATGTGCAAAAAATATGAAATGTGCAATTCTTACGTCGTTTAAACACAACGTTCTTTCTAAATATCACAACAAAACTCTATGCTAGCGCCTCAGTAAAACAACTCTCACAAGTGATTCTGCAAAAAAAAAAAAAAATTAACCATCTAGCATCTCAGCGCGCACGTAAATACAAATGAATTTTTTTTGAACTTCAGAACGCTTCTTCCCCACGCAGTTCGATAAGAAGATTCAATGTGTGAATACGTATCGTCCAGGTAGCTGTATAGTGCGCTGCATTACCTATGATACAAGAAAGGTGTTGTGCTCGACCTTAGCTTGAAAGCATCGACGCGTTCACACATCACCCAATGAGCACGTCGGCCATTCTTCACTTTTTGCGGCACGATTGTTCGCTTTCCATTTTTATCCGCATTCGTGACTACTATCGTAAAAATAGGAATGCAAGAAAAAGAGGGATGAAGCACTATGAGACAACAGTTGGAAGTCAGTGGTCGTTTACCTTTGTTTCTTCGGCCGTCGTTTTTGGTGCTGTTATTTTTACGATTATGAACAACCAACTAGCCCGATTCAACCTCAATGTATTAGCAGCAATATTTGTGATGTTTCCTCCAATCAATGTTTATTCAGAAGACACTTTATATGGTGTGACGTAAAACCGTGCTTTCTGAAGTTATTTATATTAACTGGAGGCAAACTCCTCTTCTATGACCTCACTGCCTGCTTTCCTCCCCCTCAGATATTCTTGTCCAGTTTGATGGCTTTCTTCGAGCGGAAAAATAGTCATATCTACCTTCCTTTCCACCAACTAAGAACTAAGTGCACAGTTTCGAAACACCCTGAAGCGTAACTGCGTAATAGACTTGCAAGTGATTACATGTTATTGTGTTTGCTTCACTGTTATTATTGTTGTTTTCCTGTGCTCACATTGTACCCACACTTTCTAGAATTCTGTAACACCCTTTCGGCCCCGAGGGTGTTATATTAATCTATAAGGATCGAGAAAAAAATTATTGTAATATTTCAGTCATCGTTCGAGGTGGCTGTCTCTATTGCCATTCACTGTACTATTTACAAAGCGGCAAGGCAAGTTTCTTATTGTAGTTACTATATTTCAACAACTTTTCGTAGTCAATGTGAATTACCTCATGCAGGTACTTTAGAGCACTCTAACTACAGTACCTTGATGATGCATAAAGAAGTCTATACGTGGCGAACATTTCTCATTTATTTGTTGCAGAAAAATTGTTGGGGTGAGGAGTGCGAGGCACGTAAATCATACAGCAGCGAAATGGTCGTGAACTTAAAACATCTCACTCCTGGAGGATTTCATACGTGCAGAGTTACCCTCAGGTACAACAATGAAGTCGCAAAACAAATCGGATTCAACGCCATTCAATGTAAGTCCGGCCGGCGAAAGAGCATTTCAAACGCTTTCATAAGAAAACCTTAGGCCGACATTTTCGTCTTTGTTACACCATGGAATGTCGTTTCAAGCATGGCAAATAATCATAACGCAAGCTATTTTACTATCACTGTGTTTCCAACGTCGTAAGTTTATGAGATATTAAAGTCAAGCAGGTCGGACATCTCGGTATTGAATAGTTTACGGCTTTTTACTGTTTTTCGTGCAGTTTTTTTAGTGGTTGGTTTTACCGCGATAGCGTTAAAGAGCCTGTTTCGCAGAAATTCCGGTGTCGGTATCGGCTTAGTTGGTTGTGACGAAAAAAAAACATGATCTTGTGCATGACTTAAAAGTAAAAAAAAGATACAAAGAAAATAAGTATAAAAAATTCAGGGTCTGAATGAGGATTGAACCGGGGTCGTTTGCGCGCAAGCATGTTTTCTAGCTCAAAGCCACGCATCTGATTCAAAATGCAGTGGAAATAACCGATCCTGCTTGAAAATGCAGTCAAATTACCTTGCATTCTTTAAAAACGCCGGCGTCCTTTATGCATGCTTCACAGTGCAATATGCAATATTGGAGTAATGTGTGGCATAGAGTTTCCTAATATATACTAGAGGGAATTCTGGCGCTAGTATCTATGGGCCCTGCAACGCACGGCGCTTCAGTGAGCATGGGAATGATGGGTAGTAGACACATTTGTCTAAACTTCGTACTTCTGGCCTACTTTTGGCTCCGTGTGTGTTCGTGTGACTTGAGGCTGTTTTCTCACGAAAAAAAAATCAGCAAATGTTCAGCGATTGTGCTTCACCACCCTATTTCTTTCAACTTACCTTTCCAAATTGGGTCGCGAAGTTCAAAATGGTTGAATCTTTCTTTCAAAACAAAACCTAAACACAGCAATAAACGAAGCCTCAAGTACGATTCGCTGCCCGCAAGTAGGAAGACTAGGCAAATGTGTGTACTACCCTTCATTACCATGGTCGCTGAACGATCGCAGCGCCAGAGTCCCCTCTAGTTAATTTGAGGAAACTCTATGATGTGTGGTACACGCGTGTATTGCGGTCGGGTGTCAGAGCATGCAACGAGGATGAATTCATGGGTTGAAGCGGGCAACTCGCTACGAAAGACACACGCGTTGCAGCGTCTTTTACCTTAAGGCCACCTAATTGGCGCATAGCAAGTTCGAAAAGACGTCACTCGCACAATTGCCACGGGTTTCATAGCATGCTACCCATCAAACGTAATGCAGGCGTATTCGAAAGCTTCAGTTGCGTAAGCCATTTTGAACTCAGTGCGTACTAGGGGCTGGAAATCGTTATCGCGTTGGACTCATGAAGGCGAAGCCTAATGATTTCCCAATTTTCTTTACCTGGGTTAATTGACGTCTCTGCTTAAGCAAGCCGTAAAACAACCATTGCATTTTGTTTATACTGTGTCGACCTACGTATGAGCAAAGATAAATGTGCGAACACGAAAATTTTCCTCATCCGTCTTCCCTTTCTCACTTCGCGTTGTTTTAACGGCTCTCAATGAACACATTTGCCAACAACAAGAACGAACAATGAATTATCTTACTTTGCCACGTCAGCAGATAATCGCAGAATGAGTGTTGGTTTAAAGTAATGAAGAGCACACGTCTCATGTGTGTCGGCGTTCGTCTTGCGTAACCTGAAAAGAGAGATATAAGAAACCTGTAAGACAAGAAATTAAATCTTGAACAGAAAGTATCAGATGCCTCATGAAACGCGAAAATGGGCTATCGGTGACGCCTACCCCAGTGGGGCAGAACATATTCATCTGACGTCACAACATCACGTTATCCGAAAGTTTCAGATTGCTAAATTTCGTGACGTTGTTCTGTTCGTATGAAAGCTCTATAGCCAACGCCAAAAAGCCCCTCAACATACAAATAAACAAAGTCCTCATATGTCTCTAGTAAGGCGGCAGATACGAGTATCGGTTGCAAGCGGTGAATCAAGCCCATAATCTATGGTCGGTGCCGTATGAAAAAAGTCAAGCTTTGCTCGATAGTAGCAATACTGGCCTAATACGCTGTCTTGAAAAAATGGCTTTTTATTGCACAAAAAAGTTCTTCACAGTTTGGGTTCTTTTGTGTTTCACTTTGCGAGTGTTAATTCAAACAAAGGTGGCAACAAAATTACGACGCTGAGTGAGTGAATGTATTAATGAAATGTGGGAACCACTCTTGTATTATTGCCCAATTTTTTTTAAATACCCTTTTCTAACATTTTATTGCAGAGCAAACACCCTGTACCACATGGTCTGAAATGCTTCCTGTCAGAGGAAAACACGAGCGACAAAAGAATCGTCCTCAACTGACGCATCCTTCAGCTGAGACTTGGATTGGTGGTCTTCGCAATGGGTGAAAAAAAAAAAATCAGCTGATATGACTTGACGCCGAAAAGAAACAAGTTCTATCTCTTCATTTCTGCGAAAAAACAAAATAATAAAAAATTGTGCGCGTATCAGAAAGTATTGGTACACCGAGTTATGTTTTACCCCGGCACCTGGCAGCATGAATACGAACGGTACGGAAAAATCATTCGAGCTGATCTAGGAGGTAGTGTCAGAAAAACAGAGGTACAGATAGCTGCAAAGGAAGTGGGATGACGTTATCTAAAACAGGTAGGGCCGGTGTCAGAAAACAGAGGTACGGATAGCTGCAATGAAGTGGATGACGTTATCTAAACCGGTAGGCCTAGTGATTATGTTCATCCGCTCCTATGGCACTAGAGCACGCATCGGACGGACGCATGGACGGATTGCATGGGCGGACGCTTTGTCCCACTGATCATCATTCACGTCAGCGGATATGCTGCGAATTTTTTATAATACGAAAACCACTAACGTAATCTAGTGATACGACGCTATCTAGTGAGCAAATTACTAAATCTAACTATAAGTGGCTACTACTACAACATACCATTACTATGACAGAACGACCCACACCCTTAAGAGCTTCGCCCCTAAATAATGACTGACAAAGTGGGGGAGGACGCTTTTGTACCATATATGCCACACATTATAACAACCATGACCGTGTATTCATTACGCCTCGCGAAAATATTAAAAAACCAACCAGATGGATCGATCACTCAATGCACTCATTCATGAGAAACGTTTGCAATGACAGCCCAAGGCATCGTCTTGGCACTTCGTTTTGGTCACCCACAGTCACGTGAATGACATTGAAGCCGATGCGTAAGCAGTATTTTTAGCTCACTTGCCCCTTTTGATAAACACGTTCACTTATGGTGTAAATAGCAGTTGTCATTTAGTTATTGGCACCAAGGATATCCCCCAGTATAGCTATATTAGCACCCACGGTTTCCAGGGTGTTCGGAAGAAAATTGGGTCTGTTTCTGCTTCTAAGTAGGATTTGGCGCTTGCATTAAACAAAAGATGTCTGAATGACGTACAGATGGAAAACTGTCTCATCGTGTCTACTTTAGAGGACCATCTATTGCAGAACGTGACTTTAGACACCCTTGTATGAGGACACCCTTGTATTTCTTCGTATGAGGCAGGTTGTGAAAGATGGAAGCACTACTCGCTCGGAATTATTCATGTCCGAAACTATCGCCGAACTGACGACAACTGATGTGCTGATGCTACAAACTGTGACCTTGAGCACATCGTGCAGTGCTCGTTATTATTGTCGTCACAAGGCGGGTACTTCCAGTGCTTTCACGAAAATTTCCGCAACGCAAGAGGGGAGTGACATTTATGCAGCGCTGCAAGAAACTTTGTCATCCTTCATGAAAGAATTATTGAAGTCGAGATTGGAAGCTCGGATTTACAATTACGTCGTTGAATTGCTTTCACTGCACACATTTGGATCCCCTCAAAAAAAAAAAATCTCGAATTGAGCCACAATAATAAAAATGTCGCCCTTGTTTTTACAAATACAAGACAACTTTTACTACTTTCGCTGTCCCTTGCTCAAGTTAGCTGATATGTTTTTTTTCAATCTTCAAGCTCTTTTTTCTATTATCCGCTCAGCAACCTCAATACTTGCAACCTAGGCACGCTGCCTGATGAGGTAAAAGCATAGCGAAAGGTAAACAATAGTATAAACCTGGTATGTCAAGGGTGAGACATTATTATTATTATTATATTATTATTATTATTATTATTATTATTATTATTATTATTATTATTATTATTATTATTATTATTGTGGTTTACGTCCCAAAACCACTATATGATTATGAGTGACGCCGCAATGGAGAGTTGCGGAAATTTCAAACACTTTAGGCTCTCAAACGTGCATCCTAATTTGAGAACACGGGCCTACAGAACTTTTGCCTCCACCAAAAATGCAGCCGCTACAGTCACAAAAGGGTGAAACAAAAGACAAGAGGAAGGGTGCAGTTGAGGGAGAGTGCACATGTGAACGGAATTGAAAAGGTAAGGATAATGGCTAGGCTGAAAAAAAAAACAAGTCTTGAAGCAAAGAATGAGTAAGACGATGAAGAGGAGAATGCTTAGCTTAGCTTTCATCCGGGTTTTCTAACCATGCTCATAGTTTCCAGAGATAGGATTGACAACAATGTTCCGCTCAAGAAATGACGTCCAGCGTACCGTTTGTGCTCATGTGACGTCACTTCGAAATGATGATATGGAAATAGATATGCCTGTTTTGTTCAAGGTGAGCGAAGATTTGAATGAACGACGAAAAACAGGATGAGTAATCTATACCGAAACTTTTTATCAGAAGAAATACCGAGAACCAGCTAGAATGCTTCTTGAAGGAGTCAACATCGAAACACTTGCCTATACCTTCAGGGCGTACAAACACACATTTTTTTGACACTCCACTCACGTAGTCACATGCTCACAAAAAAGATATTTCATAAATGGTTGAGACAAACACTATCAAATATTTGATAAAATAAGAAATAATAGTCGTCCATAAAAATTTTCTTGCTTCACTTGCTAAAATTCTTCAGAGCTGGAACCCAGAATACTTTTTCGAACCACTAAACTTGCTAGATTTTCATATATCATGCACAAAAAAGCTTCTGATACACTGGCATATCACCTAGTAGAGGAAAAAAGTGTACATATTTGCAAGGGAAAAACGCCTCAGAAAACAAAAAAAAAACACACCATATTCAAAGCACTTTATTATGTAGGGGTTATAAGTTAGAATATACGAGTGTAAAGAATACATTTCTTTGCAGGTGACTATCAAGTCACAATGAAACGTTAAAAGTGCTTGAAAATTAGCTTTTGTCTTCGCCTTTCCCGCTGTCTTGGAATCATACCTAACGCTTTCGGGCTGTATCGGTTGAGAGCTTTGTAGTCTCAAGGGTTCTATCAAATACGAAGGAACACAGCTGGTACGCTGATTGATGACTGATGTGTCGAGTTTAACGTCCCAAAACCATCATATGATTATGAGAGACGTCGTAGGGAAGCGGAGGGGGGTTTCAGTAATTTCGATCACCGGAGGTTCTTTAACATGCACCCAAATCTGAGAACACGAGCCTACAACATTTCTGCCTTCATCGGAAATGCAGCAGCCGCAGCTGAGATTCAATCCCGCGACCTGCGCGTCAGCAGCCGAGTATCTTAGCCACTAGACAACCGCGGTGGGGCAGCTGGTGCGCTGGCGTCTTTCAGCATAGACGTGAGGCGATTCCTGGTCATGCGGTTCTTTTTGGTGTTGATTTGGAAGATGTAAGCCCACACAAACCGAGAAATGAAGAAGCGCCTTTTTTCACGATGAAATGCGACCACTGTTGTTCTGGTGATTTTTTTTTTATGTTGGCTGCGGAAGACGTGGGAGACCACTTGTGTTCTGTAAATTCACACAAAAACAGAAAACAAGTGTCAGTGTATTGTCGACAAGGCAAGCGTTGCAAACGCATAGTGTTGGTAGATATTATCCGGTGACTCGCTACGCTATACTGCTGGTGTACGCTTGTGATAGAGAGCTACACGCACAGCACCACGTACAAACTTCTGCTTCTATTCGGAGTGTAAAATGGCTTGTGCAGATTCCGTAATACAAATATTGAAACAGAGCTTTACAATATAATACCACGTCGCCTCCTACACATCTATCCTGAGAAATTTCAGGCACATTAAACTAGAAATGTTTTAATTTTTTTATGTAAGTATATTTCTAAGAAGTTTTGGCATAGGTGCAATCTCGTAAGCGAGTACACAGAAAAGAAATAAATATGACAAGTTTACATGCGCGGCTCTTAACACATGAGGGCCATAAACAAGAGAAATGAGTTTGTGCTCATTGCCCCAGCGTAGCGAGCTTCCTCGGCATTTACATTGTCATTCGTCATAAAATGACACCCTACACATGGGTTGCAGGCCCTACTACTTGTAGTGAGAGTTGTTTTTCAATAATAACTAATTAAACAAATCGTCTCTGATTTCTGTACTACCCCAGGAAGACACGCAGCTTTACAAATACACTGAGCGTTAATTAAAGTTGCAGAATATAAAAGTCGATAGGTTAGCTCATGTAAAGGCTGAAATTCAATACAGATAGTATTGAAGGCACGGGAATTCACGACAAATTGCCCGGATGAAATGTGTTGGTTAAAAAACACAAACTTTCACATGAAATCTGTACTTACATTGAGCTATCACTATGACGTCTCTCGTGGCTTCCTTCAAGTTATACGGGTTTTGCAAAGACACTCTGTACTTGCAAGGCTTTCCGGTTTGGAGGCCTCTCAGGTAGACAAGACGTTGAGTTTTAGAGGCTACAATGCACTGCAGTTTTTCCCCTCTTGATGCTGCGTCTTGTAGCTGCACGTAGCATGCACCTAGTTGGCAGCTACCGACGTTTGACGCGTCGATCAAGATACCCACCGATGTGAAGTCATAATAGAGTCGATGAATGCTGAATTCATCGGGGGCTAGCGAAATAACAAAAAAAAACATACAAAAATGAAGTCAGATGGATGGAAGTGCAATGGCGAAAGAATAACGCAAGTCTATTAGTGTGAGAAAAAGTTGCTGTGCTTTTTTATGCACCAGTGAGGGAATACACATGTATTTGTATCCAGAAATGTTTAGCGCGAGATGGTTGACACTGCTGTGGGTGTGCACATCGAAGAACACTAACTTCCCATCATTTCATCTCATTGAACGAACGAGTAATAGTGTACTAGCCATCTCCACGTTGCGTTACTGTTGAATGTTTGGCTCCATCTGCAACTCTAAACAACGCACAACGATTCAATTTTCTTCCAAAAAGTGCTCTTTTCACACATTACCTTTGTGCACATCTGGCCACGATTCAATTTTTCTAGTGACAAATAGAGTGAACAAGACACAGTGGTGCAGTCAATCTTCGTAATCAATAAAAAGTATTTGGTGAAGCTTTAGATTTAGAAGCAGC